CAATCCATAGTCTCATATTATCTGCTGTTTTCCTCACACTCAACTACCTTTGCCTCCATTTTGCAACTGTAGCTGGCACAAATATTACAGAACTTCCCGCTGAGATAGGTGATCTTACCTCCCTTGAGTCTCTTGGTTTATGTGAGTTATTGGAGTGGTCCTTTTTTATCTGGAGGGAGGACTTTCAATTGATTTTGCGATGTCATCTTTTACTTTCTTCACACTTAACTACCTTTGCCTCCATTTTGCAACTGTAGCTGGCACAAATATTACAGAAATTCCCGCTGAGATATGTGATCTCACCTCCCTGACAAACTTTAAAATTAGTGAGTCATTACAGTTATCCCCAGATGTCTGTAGCGACCAGACCTTTCGTTTTATTGTCTTTCCGTTTATTTCTTCTCGTTCATGCTCACACCGTTCCGCATTTTTAAGTGGATCTCTGCATCAGCACCAACGAACCCTCCTATCACCCCACTGACGTACCTACCACCTTCGAACCTACCACCAACGAACCTTTCTCCAACGAACCTTTCTCCAACGAACCTTTCTCCAACGAACCTACCACCTACGAACCTACCACCTACGAACTTAGCACCTAAGAACCCAGCACCTTCCCTGGCTCCGATGATAACAACAACAGCATCCTCCCCAGTTATGACTGGTTTGATCCCCAGCCAGCTGGACCAGTTGGGCCAGTTGACAGGCCTTACTTCTCTAAATCTCTTTGGTATGCCGTCCCTATTTGCGATGCGACTGTGGTCCAGGTTACTAGATCTTTTCAATGGCTATTCCTCACATTGCTTTTTGTTCTTGCCGACAACCCTCCTCATGTTGCAGAGGGAAAGAATTTTAACCGATCCAATGTTCCAGAGGAGGTCTTGGAACTTCCCGACCAAATTGTTGCCGGTACTTACAGTAAATAGTTTTTCATGGGTGTTTTGTTTCTGGTTTGGGAAGCCGGCGGCCTAAATACCGAATCCTTTGTGTGTCTATTTTGCTATAGAGGAATCTGAAGAATATGACTGGGATGATTATGATTATAAATTCCTCATGTGACTATGACATCTTCGATCCTGGGACCTTCGATCACGACTCTCTCGAGATGGAATTTTTCGTTGAAATGATAAGAAATAAGTATTACATGTTTTGTTACATTGGATTTGACACTGGTCTAGGATTGCTGTTCAAGAACNAGTAGTAAGCACTAATATTAATTCTCAAGTAGTAACCACTGATTTTATATCCCCAGTAGTAAGGAGCACWAATAGAAATATTTTAGGACTTCGTAGTTTTTTGTGTGGAGGGGGGGGGGAGCGGGGAAATAAAGACGGGAAAATGAGAAAAAATTGACACCCGGGGAATTGCCAATAACTTGCGACTAAGGGACTTACCATTAATAGTCCTAAAGGGTACTCGCCAAGCCTGTTCTTGTCTCTTAAATTTACCAAAAAATAGTTCGAAAATAGTATGGCGACTCATACCGGCGTTTGCTCCTGTGCTCTGCTCGTCTTTTAATTCACCAAAATAACTCGTTCAAAAATAGTACAGTGGTACATTGTGCTTGTATCTGTGATCACTAAAAAAATAATTCAAAAATAGTATGGGGATTCGTGCGCTCCGTAATGGCTCTTCTGCTCAGCAAACTTTTCATTCACCGAAATTAATCGTACGGGGACACGAATGCTTTCTCTTGTATTTGCTGCTGTGCTCAGTAATCTTTTAATTCACCAAAATAAATGGTTCGAAAATAGTGTGGGGACTCGTGCGCTTGCTATCAGCAGCTCCTTCGTCTCCTTTCTATGAAGACATAGCTCCTACGTACCGTACTCCCTGCTCCTCTCCGTATCCATCCTCCATAGGCGTCTACTTTACTCAGCAAAAAGTTGACCATTCGCGAACAATTTAATTCGGAGCCGACCCGCTTATAGAGCTTCCCACTCGGATAAGTGCTCTGAAGTCCCTGGTGGAACTTAATTTATGTGAGTTTTTGTTGGAGTGTTCCTTGTTTTATCTCATTGTCAATTTATTGTTGCCATATAATATTTCGTTTTCTTGACACTCAACTGCCTTTTCCTACACCATGTTACCGCAGCAAACAACAAAATCACGATCACCTCCCTGAAAGAACTTGATATATGTGAGTTGTTGGAGTGGTGGCCTTGTTTCATTTCTGGAGTTTCCGGTTTTCAGTTTTTTTGATCTACCATCACTTTTGTTGGTATCTAACTCGTTAGCAAACCCTTTCTTGCCTGTTATGCTTAGCTTACAAGAACATGACTGGTTTGATCCCCAGCCAGCTGGGCCAGTTGACGGGCCTTACTTCTCTAAATCTCTTTGGTATGCCGTCTCTACTTGTGATGCGACTGTGGTTCAGGTTGCTAGATCTTTTCAATGGCTTTTCCTCACATTACTTTTTGTTCTTGCCAACAAACCTCCGCATGTTGCAGAGGAAACAATTTTCACCAATCCAATGTTCCAGAGGAGGTCTTGGCACTTCTCGACCAAATTGCTGCCGGTACGTACAGTAAATAGTTTTTCGTACGTGTTTTGTTTCTGATTTGGGAAGCCGGCGGCCTAAATACCGAATACCGAATCCTTTTTGTGTCTATTTTGCTGTAGAGGAATCTGAGGAATATGGCTGGGATGATTATGATTATAAATTTCTCATGTGATTATGACATCTTCGATCCTGGGACCTTCGATCACGACTCTTTCGAGATGGAATTTTTCGTTGAAATGATAAGAAATAAGTATTACATGTTTTGTTACATTGGATTTGACACTGGTCTAGGATTGCTGTTCAAGAACTAGCGCGGATGCATGCATGGAGAAGAGTGCTGCTAGCACAGGTTTTGCTTTGTCCGTCGTCGATTGCCAGCGTGTGCGAGGCAACGCCACCGTGTTTCCGAATGCCACACGAGGTGCGATCCGGTGCCGACCGCCTCCCGGTCCTTTGCCGGAATGGCAGCTTTCGATCCCCGGTGGCGAAGCCATTTTTTCGCCTTTCCTTGCCTCGCGTTTATTCGTTAAGTGTCGGGTGACGGCAGTTCCTTGCCTCTGCCCCGCTGTTCCATGCCCTGCCGTGCCGACCCTCCTTGTTTTACCGGAGCCACAGAGCCGCCAGCAGGGCGGCCGTCCCCGGCACCGTGTAGTTGTCGTCCCCGACCGGGAGGACCTCCACCACGGCGCAGGCGGCCGAGAGGCCGGCGATCCGCAGGGCCAGGGCCGGGAGCCCCAGGGAGGTATCGAGGCACCCGTTCGCCGCCAGCCACGAGCAAACGGCCAGGTTCCCGGCCAGGGCAAAGGCGAAAAAGCCGGCCGTCCCGGCCAGGGACTTCTCTCCGTCCGAGAAGGGCCACTTGTAGCCCTTCCTCCCGAAGCGGCGGCCCACCACGTCGGCCATCCCGTCCCCGGCGGCCATGGTGGTCATGGCGACGACGCCGGGGAAGGTGTCCCTCCAAAAGGCCAGGATGAAGGCCTGGAAGATGCAGACGTAGATAAAGGGCCCCTGCATGACCTCCCGCTTGTCCCCGCTCCGGGAGATCGTCCGNTCGAGATGGAATTTTTCGTTGAAATGATAAGAAATAAGTATTACATGTTTTGTTACATTGGATTTGACACTGGTCTAGGATTGCTGTTCAAGAACTAGCGTGGATGCATGAATCCATGGAAAAGAGTGCTGCTGGCACAGGTTTTGCTTTGTCCGTCGTCGATTGCCAGCGGGTGCGAGGCAACGCCACCGTGTTTCCGAATGCCACACGAGGTGCGATCCGGTGCCGACCGCCTCCCGGTCCTTTGCCGGAATGGCAGCTTTCGATCCCCGGCGGCAAAGCCATTTTTTTGCCTTTCCTTGCCTCGCGTTAATTCGTTCTCGTGTGTGCGTGTCGATGGTGGCAAGTGTCCGGTGACGGCCGTTCCTTCCCTCTGCCCCGCTCTTCCATGCCCTGCCGTGCCGACTCTCCTTGTTTTACCGGAGCCACAGAGCCGCCAGCAGGGCGGCCGTCCCCGGCACCGTGTAGTTGTCGTCCCCGACCGGGAGGACCTCCACTACGGCGCAGGCGGCCGAGAGGCCGGCGATCCGCAGGGCCAGGGCCGGGAGCCCCAGGGAGGTCTCGAGGCACCCGTTCGCCGCCAGCCACGAGCAAACGGCCAGGTTCCCGGCCAGGGCAAAAGCGAAAAAGCCGGCCGTCCCGGCCAGGGACTTCTCTCCGTCCGAGAAGGGCCACTTGTAGCCCTTCCTCCCGAAGCGGCGGCCCACCACGTCGGCCATCCCGTCCCCGGCGGCCATGGTGGTCATGGCGACGACGCCGGGGAAGGAGTCCCTCCAAAAGGCCAGGATGAAGGCCTGGAAGATGCAGACGTAGATAAAGGGCCCCTGCATGACCTCCCGCTTGTCCCCGCTCCGGGAGATCGTCCGKGCCAGGGAGGACTCGGCGGCGTCTCCGGTCCCCGCCAGGTAGAGCCGGAGCATGTTGGTGAGGCAGACCAGGCCGGCAAAGACCCGGGCCCCGGCCGCGTCCGAGAAAAACGGCCAGGTGGCGATGAAGAGCGGGGCCGACAGGATGTGGGTCAGCTTGCGGGCCGTCTTGGAGCCGTAGGCCCCCCTCTCAAAGCCGGTGGTGATGCCCCGGTTGAGGGCGACCGCCAGGACGCTGGTGAGGCCCGCCATSCCCGCGTCGCGGGCGATCATGGCCAATGTGTAGGCTCCCCCCCCGGCCGGGCCCGGGAGCCATCCCTCCGACGCGATCCAAGCCGTGGTTGCGATGGAGGCCACCAGGCCCGCCGCCACCTGCTTCCGGCGCCTCCAGCGGGCCGAGGCGAGTTCCCGGTCGGGGGGGAGGGGATCCAGGGCGGCCCCGTCCCGCTCGAGCAGGGCAATGACGACCTCGTCGCTGYTTCCGCTGTTGTCGTTGCTGGTTTCGCCGGCAGCGGCCTTGGCGGGATCGTCTTTGTCGTTGTCGTCGTTTTCGTTGTCGTTTTCGTCGTCCCCTGTGTCTCGATTGCCGGTGGCCGCGACCATGCCCAGCGAATCCGATATGGTGCCCTCGCCCAGGTCTTCCCTCGTCGAGGACCGAAGGGAAAAGCCGAGCGGCCCCCGGTGCRATTCKCGCTGCTGTTCCTGCCGCCGCTGTGGCTGTTGCTGTTGCCGCTTCGRCCGCATCAACCCGCGTCCCTTGTGGGCCACCGACGCGGAGGGAACCTTCATGGAACCCACCGTCGGAGAGGAAATCCATGCGATTGCTGCGAGGCAATACGCGTACCGCATCACGAGAGAGCAGTTTGCTGCCACCATGGTTTTGCTTTTTGTTGCTTCGTGTTGGTTTGGTTTGGTTTGTTCTTCTGTGTTTTCTTTTCGTCTTCGTCTTCGTCTTCGTTTGGTTTCGTTTGATTCGCTCTGTTTTGCTTCGTTTCACCTAGCTTCGATTCCTTTTTTGGTTTCGTTTCGTTTCGTTTTGATTCGCTTGGCTTTGTTTCGATTCGATTCGATTCGTTGGGCTTCGTTTTGTTGCCGTTCGATGCGGGAAACGTGTATTTTTTCGCTGCCGCAAGTATCGTCGGTCGAGTGGACGCAACCGAGTGGAATGAAATGAAATGAAAGGGAAGCGAATGGAAGGGAACCGTGGGTTTCTTCTTGGCCGCTGCTCCGCTGTGTTGCTTGTTTCGGCCAGCCGCCGATACGAGGTGAGAGAGAATAACTGCGTTGTTTGCCTTTGGGTCTGCCGAATCCTTTTCGTCCGACACGAGTTGTGTAGAACGCAAAATAGGCGCGGGGCTCCGTGCTTTTCGTGCCGTATAGCGGTACGAATCGGGTATTGAATTCAGGAGCGTCGATCCGAAGGAGGGGATTCTCCGGGAAGACAGGATCGGGCGGGGGGAGATGGAGATCGAAATGGAGGACGGATGCGAATGCAAACACGCGGTGTGGTGGTTCTCGTCCGAGGGACCAAAAAATTGCGGCAGGGCAAAGAATCTATCCGGTGGACGTAAGGTATCGGTACATGTAGGGTACGAGCCGTTCGATACGAATGACACCTCTCTCGTTCCGATCGAACGATGGTTCGCGGTGTCGGGCAGCAAGAGAGAGCAGAGGGGAGGGAGGTCCCAATCATTCATCGGTCGCCTTCTTCAACCAGAGATCGTTGCACCCACACGATTGATTGGTGCAAGCCTTTCGTGAAAGAACACAAAGAATCCAATTGGAATCACAGAGGTACTCGTACTCGTAACCGCACTCGTACGTACGATTACTCCTACGGGCGTATTTGCCATGTCATATCGTACACAATACCTGTACCTTGTACTTACAGTAATACAGTATTCAGACACAACGATGACTGACTCGTTCGTTCCGCGTCCTCCACGTGTGTCAGAGGAACAAATCAATGAATGAATCAATCCATCGAACCGAACCCAATTATTTTTTCTTTCTGTTTGGAAGTCCTACTAGAAAGACAAAAATTCATCGAACGGAAAAAACTGGGCGTTGAACGTGAGAAATTCATACTTATCGAACCCATTTTTTCACTTTTTGTCAAGAAAAAAACTACAGAAGTACTGTACCAAATTACCCTACGGTACCGGCATACCATAGGATGGTATGATGCACCCCCTCCCTCCGGCACACAGTTTTTGATCTCTTCGATCCGGTTTTCTGCACAAAAATGATGCCCTGAAGTTGGCTAGCGACTAGCGACTAGCGACTAGCGGCCGTCGTCACAGTTGACATCCATCACAGCGACGCTCCCGCTTTCCGAAAGGAAGGAACGCGGGCCCTTTTCGTCCGCTCTCACATCGCACCCGGACATCGCGACGGGGCTCGGAGCAGCAGTCGTTCGGTTCGGGCACGAAAGAACGGGAGGCACCCCGGAACCCACCTACCTACCTACCTTCCTACCTACATTCATAGACACCGGTGCATTGCGCAACATCCACCACCACAACCGCATCGCGAGATGCCCTACAACCACTATTCCAAGAACACCACGGTGACGGTGAAAAAGGCCAGGGCCAGGCACCCTTCCAACCAGCCCGGCCTCGATCGGCTGCAGGAACTCCTGGTCAAGGCCACCGCGAACAGCGCCTCGGGAGCGGGAGGAGGAGGACAGAACTACGCGACCACCATCCAGCGGGCCCTCCGGTCCCTCAAGGACTGCAGGCACCCGATCGTTACCCAGCAGGACGCCGTCAAGCTCAAGTACGTCGGCCCGGCCATGGCCAAGAAGATCTGTCCCCCCGAAGCAAGCTCGGGCCCGGGCCCGCTGCCCMAAAAGCGCAAGAGGGATGCCCCTACCGAACCACGGCGYTGGGAASCATGCGTGGACCGGGGGGTTCTCCCGGGCCGGCCGGACGCACCACCGCCTGTCGCCCTCTGCCCGGTGCCGGCCCTCCGGTCGGCTCGTTCCGCGCCGTGTGGACCGAAGAACAACACCCAACGACGGGACGAACGCCACCCAACCGCCAAGGAAGCCGCCTACGGGGCCGCCAGGAAGCACGCCGAGGCCCTGGCGGTCGCCCCAAAGGCCCTGGAGGGGACCTGGAAGGTCGTCCTGCTGGTGGACAACCGGGAACACAGGTCCAAGCAGGTCGTGAGCTCCTGCAAGCAGGCGGGGATTCCCTGCGAGGAGCGGCAGCTGGCAATTGGGGACATGGCCTGGATCGCCCGGAAGATCCCTTCCAGCAAGAAAAAGGACCGCGCAATCGGCAAAGGCGAAACCGAAACCGGCGCGGGCGAAACCSCCCTCGAGGTCCTGGTCGGGACGATCGTCGAGCGCAAGGAGGTCGGCGACCTGGCCTCGAGCCTCTTCGGGACCCGGTACGCCGAGCAGCGCCTCCGGCTGAGCCAGTGCGGGCTGCCCCAGGTCCTCTTTCTGGTGGAGGGCGACCTCCACGCCCTCAGCAACTGCCCGGCCGAGACGCTGGAGATGGCCATGATGGAAACCCGCCTCCAGCTGGGCTTCTCGGTGGTCCGGACCAGGAACCTGCCCGAGACGGTGGGAATCCTCAAGACCCTCCACGCCCGGATCGTCCAGCGGACCTTTCCGTCCGCCTTTGGGAGGGGGGCTCCSAAGGGCAACCSCACGGGCAGCACCAGCGGCACKATCGCGAMRCCCCAAAAGCAGGCCCTCCCGAGCTTTGGGGGGGGGAACCGGAGGAGACCCGGGAGCCACCGGAGGCCGGCCTCCCTCCTGGAGCTGGTCTTTGACACGCCGCCCGTCCCGGCCTTTGGGGGGAAGCGCTTTGTCACCTACCCAGAGCTCCGGGCCAAGGTGGAGGTCGACCGCGAGCGGGGAACCAAGAGCGTCCGGGCTTTGACCCTGGCGATGCTCAAGCAGATCCCGACCCTCTCCCAGAAGAAATGCACGGCCCTTGCCRGTCGGTACCCCACCCTCCGGAGCCTGATGGAGGCCCTCACGCATCCGGGCCGCGACAACGACCACCAGAGCGGAAACGACCACAGCGAAAGCAACGGCCACAACGGCAACAACGACGGCGACAACCAACCCCCGCAGCGAAGACCGCGACCCCGACTCTTGCACCACCCCAAGCAGATCGTTGGGGGGATCGAGATCGAGGGCGGCCACGGCCGCACCATCGGCCCGAGCTCCGCGGCGGAGGTGTACGCGGCCTGCTGCACCCTGCCGGATGGTTCCACGGTGGATTGCCACCGGCCCCACGAGCCAAAGGTGCAAGGAGTGGCGAGAGGCAGAGGCAGAGGCAGAAGCAGAACCACGGCCACCACCACAAACGCAACGACGACGACGACGACGACGACAGCAATGGCAGCAACGACCGCAACGAGAACCGTGGTTTCGTCTTCGGTCCTTGCTGCTTCCACGGCCAGGGGCTCGCAAGCACCACCAACGGGRCCACAAGCACTCCTGCCTGCTAGAGGGACCGTGCAGAGCGACTTGGAGGAATGCGYTGCGGTGGTTGGAAAGCAGCCGAGCAGAAGCAAGGYGTCGATCCCGGAAGCCGTAGCAGCAGTGGCAAGGAAGGATTCGCTTCTMTTTTCCTCGTCCCCTATTGGCGGCGACGACGACGAGGATCTCCCTTTTCGGAGCAACCGCATCCCTGCAAACCGCAAAGCTACTTYTGTTGCTGCTCGTCATGCCGATGCTACTCGCCACACCAGCACACAACAGCAAGAAWYCGTCGATCTCTTGACACCCGAGGCAYCCAGGCACGAACCAAAACGTGCGGCCRATATCGGCCGACTATCGAGCAGCTCCGGTTGGTCCAGCGACAGCAGCAACGATACTCCCGCTGCCACGGCCGTCACCAAATTTTCTGCAAATGCCAACGACCAAAACAACAAGAAGACTTCTGCCACAAGGGAGACGGCACAATCCAATTCAGAGAAATCCGCAACTTCCATCACAAACGCGGTGCGAAAACCACCAACGGCCCAATCGATTCTTCTCTTGTCGTCCTCTTCGGAAGACGAAACGGACAACGACAACGACAACGACAACGACAACGCTTTTTCCCTGGGTGGCGAAACCCGAAAGAAGCCACCACGCCTCCAGGACATGGACGGCAATGCCCAAAAACGCAGCAACCATTCGGATATTTCGAACGGAGAGAAGACGACGGCTGCGATTCCCTCCAGAAACGGGCCTTCGTCCGGGGTTGGTCGCCCGGTGGCAGAAAGGGGGCTTCCGACCACCCCTCCCGTCTTTTCCGGTCGCCAAAGGGAAGCCCCAGCGGCGGCGGCCGAATCGTCGGCCTCCCCTTCCTCGGACGGCTCCTCCGTCCTCTGGTCCCCCGAGGACGGGGGGTTCACCCCGGTGTCGCWGCGGGGAGGCACCGGGGCCGGTGTCTACCGCCGCCGGCCGGATCCCGCCGTGGCAGGAGTCGTGAGCCTCCTGGACGACGACGGCGACGACGATAGCGATACCAACCATGGCGGAAACGAGCAACCCAAACCAATGACCGCAGCCGGCAGCCACAAGACCAGCCACAGCCAGAACACCAGGGGCACAGACAAGGACCGAGAAGACACCAACGCAACGAACCGTCGTCGGTGGTCGTCCCCGCGGAAGGAAAGTCTCTCCAAAGACAACGACGACAACGACGACAACGACGACGCGTTCCTTTCGAAGCCTGCAGTGGCTGGCGCCGCCAATGCTTCAGAGCAAGGTGCCTCCCTGCTGCTGCT